TTGCATCCGGGGTACAAATTTTCAGGACCATCTTCCACGAAATCCATTTCACATCAAGGTTAGTAACCTTAGGTTACTCTCGATAGCGGGACTGCACTTACAGAAGGAACACGCCGTGTCTTACACGGTGGAGCCGCTCCATGATTGGTGGAGCCGCTCCACTGTGGAGCACCGTAGCTATGAAGACCACTTCACGCGTGCAGATTGTTGTGCTTCGAATCGGAGACTCCAAGCGAATCGGGTTTATGTTCATCTCAAGCATCAAGCTGATCTTCCTCGTTCTGAGCTTTCACAACTACGTGCTCGGCGAGCTTAACGGCCTATTCTTCTCGAGCAAGCTTTACCATACCCCCTTCCTGGTTCTCAACTTCAGGGCGGACAACACTGTCTTCATGGTGATATGTGACGACACTGTCGATCCGATGAAAGCCCACTGGGAATATGTGCCGGGCACGGAAGATATTAAGGTGTTCGCTATCCACCTTACTGACGAGCAGCACTTCGACATGGCTAATCTGCTTCCATCAGACTACCGTTCGCACACACTATATGGCGTTCTAAAGCATACCATCGATGCCCACCCTATTCGATATATTGAGATGAGCTATGGGCTTGGTAATTATCTTGGACAGCCTTAAGTAAAGTGATGAAGCTTTGCTTTGATTATTCACCCAACATGACTCTACTTTTCTGCCGTTGGGTACTGACTATTGCACTCATCATTATATCACCATCTGTGGGGGTGGGGTCACAGAGAAGTGCTCCCTTGTTGCTCAGAACAACTTGCTTTGGCTCATAGAGCGTTTGCGGTAACTTTTTTCATTTGATGGACTATCAATCTAGTCGTGTGGGGATTACATTAGATCGTTTATCAGAGACGGTATCATTTGGCATCAGACTTATCCATATCATGCGTATTGTGTAATGTATCAGTATCATTCGTACTGAGGAAGACGCGAGCGAGTGGCTACTTATACACACAATCCATTGTCGATTTGGCGTTGCTCCCCGAGATGAACTCCAGTTGGAAGCCGAATATTTTGCACAGTCGTCCCAGAAGGGTGCAGCCGGGCTCAAGTTGAGCTACTCTACTATAGACAACTGCGATATGCCCAAATTGGTAAGCTTCAGCCTACAATCGGGTGGAATCGCTCAGGATTTTCACGGCAAGAGTTTATCTTGACAATACGATGATCCCCTCAGTATGTGAGGATCATGGCGTTGACAGCATCAGGGTTCGTCTGATGGGGAAGGAAAAAATTCCTTCGAGAAATTTCTCGATTTCCCAGGAGGGGAAAAATTATCTTTCCCCGAGAGAATTCCCTTTTTTGCCGTTTTTTGCATTAATTCACTTCAAAAATTTTTGCTAATCGTTCTAGCATATTGCTTATTAATTTGAATACCGAATGATTGGGTTATATTTTAACCGTTATAGAAATGCCCAGGATCTGCCGATTCGAATATTTCATTCGTACCGGGCGCGGGCCATATAATGAGCGCTTCTAATGCCGCGCTCGCCATAAAATCCATATGTTCATGGTCAGACCTTGACCATTGAGGTATACGGGTTATAGTGATAATCCTAGGTTGAGTTCATTAATAATGTCTTAAAGCGCGAAGCAATATTATCGCACTCCTCTTGCACTGTGGGAATCAGAGTATTCAAAGAGAATGTACTTTCAGTGAAAATTTGAGAATATTTACTGATATTGTTCCTAATTTTCATGAAGAATTGAGCTGACAGTAGCATCATTATGTCTGGGTATGAGGCTCATACTATGAACAATGAGAGCGTGTCCAGCGTCTAGATAGAGTGGGTGTAACTTTATTTTTTTTGCAAGAGTCATCACCCGATACTGCACTGACCCTCGTACAAAACAGGGATACCATAACCAGGAATCGTACAAGATGGCCTGGTACAGATTTATGCGGATACGTCATTCAGAGCTTAAGACCTATGGTCCACCGGTCACGCGCCCATACCGGTCAATGCACGCATACCCATAGGCTCTGGGTATGCGTGCATTCATGCGTGCCTCCACATTGATGGAAAAGAGCTATGAGGAGGAACCATAGAATTGGAAAAACTTAGAGAACCATAGACCTGGAAAACTCGGAAAGTTTCCGACGGAAACATGTCCCGGAGGCAGTTTGCACCGCGACAGTGTAATATCCTGACGATAAAAGAGCACATCAACAACTTTCCGACACTCCCAGAGCGAGCGGTCCACTGCCGGTGGCAGTCTGCCACACCATCACACGTTAATCAGCAACTTTCATGATAAGGGTGGGAAGGCCGTTCCGAAATCACCCACACTTGCGTGAAACGCCCTTTTTCAATACTATTTGGCCACTAGCAGTGCTCCCCTAGTACCACTTCTTCGGAAGTTCTTCCTGTAGCAACATTCATCAATACCTCACGAGTTGTGTTGCGTCGTTCTTTGCAATGCACATAAACATTCGAGGAATGGGTCGTTTGTGGCTTCCGCATACGTTTCCCTCTACGGACCCGCGCGTGGATTGGCGAAGAATGGAAAACTGGCGGAGCTGCGGATCGAACCCGCGACCTCGCCCGACAATTCCGGAAATTTCGATTAGCTCAGTACGTTAGTAACCACGACTCTAGACCGGATGATTCTGCGTCATATTTCACGATGGCCATTTTAATCACATGTCGTCATAAGGCGACAGTTTACACTGGAGACGTCTATCCACGCCTTTGGCTATTATGGAACGTGGTCGCCCACGGCGACGACGACGCCAGCCAACCCCCGACAGCTTTTTGTTTTTTAGTCACCCAATTTCCAAAATAATTTCAATGACAGCCCGCTGAATTCTTGATAAGAAGCTCAGCTAGCTCCGAAGATCTAGTTTGATACGCCCTAGTTTTCAATGGGGAGGATGCGAGGATCCCCTTCGATACCCCAAGGGGATCTTCATACGGGAGAGACGGAGGAGAGAATGTAGGAGTGGAAGAGTAGTAATGGGAGATGGTCTGTGGAGATGGCATTGTGCATTTGGACACCATCTTGTGGTCACTATCGACCACGACTGCCGTAGTCCACTAGCACGTACAAAATATTCAAACTCAGAACGCATATATTCTCGTGATACAAATTAGGTCAACTCATTAGCAACTTTTGCCGAGAGCAATGTGCATGTGGGGTCCTTCTACCTTCCGCTGATTTGAAATTCAGTGCATTTATTGTCCATTTATGTGGCCTTGATTTATACAATATAAACACGTCACTTAGTATGGATTTTGGTTGGCTATAACTTCTCACAACGTAAACTAGTATTTCTACCTAGTATGGGAAAACATGCATCATGTGTTGATGACAATATGATAATTTTGAAGGAATTTTGAGAATTTTTCGTTGGTTTTTGAACCTTTCTGTCCGATTTCGTGTATAAACCTCTCTAATTAGTGATATAACTGCTGAGCTCAGCTGATATTCCAACACTGCTTGTACCAGTATCAGAGATTTCTCTAAAATGATTATCGATTTGAGTTCCCTGGGTGGATCATACTTGTAGTTAGATCTGTTAGGTTGTTTGTATAATAAGCCGAATATGCTGCTATATGTGCATGTCTGTGCATTGCTGATCTTGTCCATACCAAATTTCTCTCAAATTGTGACTACAACTACCCCTACTCCCGAGGGAGTAGAGGTCGAAGTCTCTACTAAACTTTCCTTCGATAACCCCCCACTGGAGCGACTATACTTCTGTCCCCGAGACAAAGTCGAATCAGCTCGAGCGAAGACCAGTTGGCCAGCATACCCGGTCATGTTGAACACCTCGGAGTGCTTGAGCTACGATCAAATTATGAATCTTCCCAATCGGCGTCAGAATCTCCACTGCATTGCTTATGCTACTGAGGCGTTGACCTCTGCACTCGACAGTGTTGGCTTGAGTGAGAGCTACCTCCTTTGGGGTAGTCTTTTGGGATGGTATCGTCACGATGGAGGAATCATCCCATGGGACTTTGATGGTGATATTGCGGTAATGAAAGAGTCGTGTAATGCAACCTTTGATGCTCTCCACGCTAAGAACAATAATATCAAGAACATTGCTCAAGCGGTGGACGAGCTACTCCCGAGAGGCTTTCACATGGTCACCATTACTGATGACGGTGTTAGTCGGGATTTGGACACTTTCTGGAAGTGTGAAGTCCAGGAGTTGAGAATCGAAGGGTATTGGCCGGGGACTGAGGACCGCATGTGCTACACTGATCTTTGGTTTCTTGATCATGAATCGAGTGAGGGAGCTAATTGCCAATGTGATTACCATGTTCCTTCTCCCAGAGTGTGCATCGAGAATCCCTACTATTCTCGAGGATGTATCTCTGTAGCTGATATGTTCCCTTTAGAAGAGGCTAAGCTACTCGGCAATGTTTCGGTGAAAGTACCTCACAATCCCCTAGGAGTGTTGAGACGCCTCTATCCTAGTGGTATCGACATCAAGAATATGGCACCTGTTCCGAAGAACGCTCTATTTGAGGACGACTGGTCTATTGTGATTGCTAGTAGTTCACAGGATGAAGCCCCTTCGCACAGTGTTGTATGGTGGTTCGTTATTGCGTTAATATGCGCACTCTTGGCATTTATATTCTTGCCAAGGTTTTATCGGTGCTATCGTGTGCATCGCAGCGGGTATGCGTCGCCGCCACAATAAGCTGAGGATGCGACGAAAGAGTCTGTTATTGAATTATGTCGGCGATTTGTGGCCACGTTACTTTTATATACCTCTCGATCGAAAGTGTTGCGTCTTCTTGATTATGTCTCGAGTCATCGTAAGTTACTGTTGCATTGTTGTGTTTGGTTGACGCCGGTCGGAAGTAGTAGTTACTGTGTTGTCACTAGTGTGGAGCCCTAAAGATGATGAAATGGGAGAGAAATAGTCTAAGT